CAATAAGGCCGATTTTTGGGCCTACCTCCGATTGGTTTCAATGTACGTCATTTTATTCATTTAAGTGGGCCTCATTACATACTGTAAGGATTTTTCCTAATAATGATTTAATTCAGAGAAATAGGCATAGGAAGATCAACCAAAACTGATAATGAAAAGACAGTTCACTTAGAAATGAAGTGTGAAAAAGATTTATTCCACATCAGTATTGGAAGAATCATCTGAAGATGATGCTCCTTCTTCTTCAGACCAACACGAGGCATTCTTGAGATGACTTTTGAATTCGCTTGAAGGTCTGGTAGTATTCTGATGATATCGAGAGTAGCCGAGATACCACAAAGCACTACCAACATGAGCGCAACATCCTACTACCCTTGCACCACTTTTGCATTGGTAATACCAACTACTTATTGGATTTGGTCCAGCAGTAGTCTCTATCCATAAGTTGTATACTTTGGAGGATGTGTGACGAGACTGAATTTGTACTCTCAAAATGTATTCGTCTTGTTTGTGGACAAAAAGGGAATACATTCCATTATCCGATAAGTCTTGCTGGACCAAATCCAATAAGTAGTTGTTATTGCCAATGCAAAAGTGGTGCAAGAGTAATAGGATGTTGCGCTCATGTTGGTAGTGTTTTGTAGTATCTCGGCTACTCTCGATATCATCAGAATACTACCAGATCTTCAAGCGAATTCAAAAGTCATCTCAAGGATGCCTCGTGTTGGTCTGAAGAAGAAGGAGCACTATCTTCAGATGATTCTTCCAATACTGATATATTGGGTGAGTGCAAAAGTTCGTGCGGAGTTTGTGAGTAAAAGTCACACAGTGATTAGGCAAACAAAAATCTTTATTCAATCAATGATATATTCTCCATCGTTTTCTATAATCTTTTCCCAACGTTCTGGCAGCATACGGATGCCTCGATCATAAAAACTGCGCGGTTTAGATTCGAAGAACGAAGAGACGCCGTTTTTTAAGGCCTCCAAAGAGTCAAAGTTTTTCCCATTTAAATAATTTTACAATGACCGGAACAAATGATAGTCAGATGGTGCGATATCAGGAGAATATGGTGGATGCGTTAAGACATCCCATTTCAGGCTCTTCAGTTTGCGCAGCGTCTTTTTCGAAACGTGTGGTCTGGCGTTGTCGTGATGAAAGACGACTCCCTTGCGATTTGACAAAATCGGACGTTTCTCTTTTATTTCTCGATTCAGATTGGTTAATTGGCGACAGTACTTGTTCGAATCAATCGTTTCGCCAGCGGGGAGAAGCTCGAAATAGATTATGCCCTTGCAATCCCACCAAACAGAGAGCATCACCTTCATCGGGTGCAAACTGGCCTTTGGCATTGCGTCACCATGCTCACCTGATTGTTTCCATGTCCATTTGCGCTGAACATTTGTTGTAGAGGACCCATTTCTCATCGCCCGTCACTAGTCGATCCAAAAACGACTCGTTATTGAGCCGCCCGAGTAAAGAAACGGCTGCAGAAATTCGCTTGATTTTGTTCTTCTCGGTCAGCAAATGGGGCACCCATATATCGAGCTTCAAATCGAATCCCATCTTTTTTAAACGCCGAAAAGCGGTTAATCGGTCAACGTTTAGTGCTGTAGCAACTTCTTCTGTTGAAATTCGCGGATTATTGAGCACTAAAGTACGCAAAACATCGTCATCAATGTCAGAAGGTCGACCAGAGCGTGGCTCGTTTTCAATGTTAAATTCTCCGCGCCGAAATTTAGCAAACCATTTTTCCACAGTTCGTTTAGCTGGTACTTCATCCTGATAAACATCCTGAATGTTTTTTACGGCTGCGGCAACGTTTATTCCCTTCCGAAACTCGTAAAGCATAACATGCCGTAAATGCACCTTATCGATACTCATTTTTAAAGTGATATTTCTCGAAGCAGTTTGTATGAAAACAAATGATTTTTTTTTTAATAACAGCTGAAGACGTCACCTTTCCAACGTTATATAATATGTAGATGGAAGTATTAATGACAACACTTTACGACGCTTATAACTCCATCTATTGAAACTCCGTACGAACTTTTGCACTCACCCAATAGAATAAACCTTTTTCACACTTCATTTCTAAGTGAACTGTCTTTTCATTATCAGTTTTGGTTGATCTTCATCTGTTTTGATGTTTTTTTGAAGGAATTCTCTTTGAGATAAAGGATTTGTTCTTCTTTTGCAGACGCAAGCGTAATAAAGTGTGCAAAAAAATTGTATTTTAAAGGCGAAGTACCTCGAGAAAAATGATGGCTCTGACATATGTTGTAGTGTATATACAAGGTGAATCATTTAACCTGGAATTTTGTAATATCTTGAAAAATACGCATCGTACAGATAAATTTGCCGAATCGAAACTTTAATATCTCCGAGGGGGGCATCCGCTAGTACTAAATTACGCCCACCCCCACACCCCCTGTAGGCGGGGCGGGCGGCAAATTTGAAATCTTAAATAGGAACCCTAATTTTTTATCGCAGATTCGGATTCTACATCGAAAGCTACGTACGATTTATTCGAAAAAGTTTTTTCGATTCGCGACAGATGGCGCTGTAATCGCAAGAAATGGAACAGAAATCAAAAGAATTAAAAAACAGAGAAGCACGTATTTAGTATTTTTCGGCGGGCTATTCAATGATGTTATGGTTGCCCCCCCCACCTCCTATGGGTGGAATGGTTGGTTAATAAACTACTTTTAGCGTAACTCAGGAACAACTTTCGGGGTGCTTGATTAACGTGAGTCTCCTTGCCTCTCACTGTTCAAGTAAATGTTCGAAATGGTGACCTTGAACTTCAATACAATTGTCGATCCGCGTTTCAAATGACTGTACACAACTGAGAAGTACGTCTCTAGTAATGGGCACAAGCATTCCTGATTCGTTCAATCATATTCTCACGAGTTGTTGTTGTGAGAATTATTGTACATTAGTTGTAGAAAGTAGTATTTATACCTAATAAAGATTAACAAGGAACAATTTATTAGGTGCGCAACTAAGTTCTCGCTGTTTTTTTGATGAAAATGCAACTTTATTGCGAAAAAATGGTTACAAATGAATCATTCAAAATATTGCCCATCGCTAGCGACAACTTTTTCCCATCTTTCTGGCAGAGCTCGAATACCGTCACGGTAGAAGTGTTCGTCTTTTGAGGCTATACACCAATCAAGCCATTTTGAGATGTCTTCATATGAGCGGAACTGCTGATTAGCCAGACCATGTGCCATCGAACGGAACAAGTAATAATCGGACGGTGCAATATCTGGGAAATATGGCGGGTGGGGTAGGACTTCCCATTTGAGCGTTTCTAAGTAGGTTTTAACGGGTTTGGCAACGTGAAGCCGAGCGTTGTCATGCTGTAGAATCACTTTTTCGTGCCTCTGCTCGTATTGCGGCCGCTTTTCGCGCAGTGCTCGGCTCAATCGCATCAATTGAGTTCGATACCGTTCCCCAGTGATGGTTTCGTTCGGTTTCAACAGCTCATAATAAATAACACCGCCCTGGTCCCACCAAATACACAGCAAAACCTTCGCAGCGTGAATATTCGGCCGAGCCGACGACGTAGAAGCATGACCGGGCAGTCCCCATGATTTTGTTCTCTTTGGGTTGCTGTAATGAATCCATTTTTCATCACCCGTAACGATGCGATGAAGAAAACCCTTCCTTTTTTGCCGCAGTTGTTCATAGGCGAAAAACGACGCTCAACGTCTCTTGGCTTCAAATCATAAGGAACCCAAGTTCCTTGTTTTTGAATCATTTCCAACGCATGCAATCGCTTGGAAATGGCTTGGCGGGTAACTCCTAATGCTGAAGCAAGCCCTTTTTGCGTTTGGCACGGATCCTCATCGAGCAATGCCCCCAATTCAGCGTCTTCGAAGGTTTTTGGCCTTCCTTCACGCGAACGGTCGTCAACATCGAAATCACCGTCTTTGAAGCGACGGAACCAATCACGGCACGTTGTTTCACTTAGAGCAGCATCTCCGTAAACTTTTTGGAGTTCTCGATGCGCTTCAGCCGCCGTTTTCTTCGAATGAAAGAAGAAAAGCAACACTTCCCGCAAATGACGATTATTTGGCACAAAATCAGACATTTTCACCAAAGTATACAACCAAAAGTATATGACGCAAAAACAAAATCACTAATGTGTCAAAGCGGTTTGTTTACCATATATCTAAGCTTAGTTCATGACGTTTTGGATATGTCACAATCGTCCAGCACTTACTACTGGAGCCATCACTTGAAAAATAGCGGGAACTTAGTTGCGCACCTAATACTTGTTCCGTTCGATGGCACATGGTCTGGCTAATCAGCAGTTCCGCTCATATGAAGACATCTCAAAATGGCTTGATTCGTGGATAGCCTCAAAATACGAACACTTCTACCGTGACGGTATTCGAGCTCTGCCAGAAAGATGGGAAAAAGTTGTCGCTAGCGATGGGCAATATTTTGAATGATTCATTTGTAACCATTTTTTCACAATAAAGTTGCATTTTCATAAAAAAAACAGCGAGAACTTAGTTGCGCACCTAATAGTATATAAACTTAAATAAAACATTATAGCGTATATGTATAAAGAGAATTTACAAGAACATCTTATTATAATAAAAATGCTGTCATGTATGTATTAAACATGACATAATATTAATTCGGGAATTCTTATTATGTCGAGGCATAATAATAATTCCGAATTTTTATTATGCCGTGACATAATAATAATTCCGAATTTCCATTATGTACATAATATATACAGGGTGTTTGGTAACTGATCATGCAGACGAAAGTTGGAGATAGATTGGGTGTAGCCGAGAAGAAAAGTCATGTACCATTATGTCAAATTGGTAAGAGTTATCGAGTTATTAATTAAAACATGTGAGCCAACGAGCGCGTAGAGAGCGGAGGGCGACCGCAGTAAGCACGTAGACATTTGATACAGGCGGAATCAATAAGTGACGGTAGGCGAGCGCGCGCGGCGAGGAGCGAGCGAGCGCGAACGACGAGGAGCGAGCGATTTTCAAAAACGCAATCTAGAGATTGAGACGCGCCATTGTACTAAGATTACCTTGCTCAAGCCATAATTTTTGTCGACAGGAGGCAGATAGGACTTTGTGGGTTTTAATAACAATATAGGTGATTTCAGCGGCGGCGATAAAGATGTATCATACTCGTGAGTTGCAATCAGATGCTTATAAACCGACGTACAATAAATCTTGTAATTTTCAAGAGAAGTTTCTTGTAGAAAATCGTCTGACAAATATTCGATAAAAGCGTCCAACTTTTTCTCCCACGTGTCGTGCTTGGATAATTCTAACAGGATCTGTTAACAGATGGTCATAGTTATTATCTTACATGTCATGGTTATTATCTTATATTATAACAACAAACTCAATTTATACAACGTACCGATGTATTATCAGCAGAGTGGGAGAAATCCATAAGGGCCAGGAGAACGTTATTCTGAAATTCTTGAAGATTTGTGAAAGGAAAATGTTGATCTACCAGAGTTTTCATATAGTCCGGTGCACCATCGATTAATATTAACCGTCCTTTGAAATTCCTCGCCTCCAACAGTCTCGTCAACTCGATAGTGATTAACGACCCATATGAATACCCAGCTATTACGAATTCTGTAGAATCTTCTATCTTTGATATTATATGCTATAAGAAAGACACAAATTTTTTTTCTTATTAGTTTCTTAATCGATGTGATGCAATTCCAGTCTAATGAAATGGAATCACTGAAATATCGAAAAGGCAGCTTCCCTGTTACATTAATACGTACAGATAACAAACTGGCAGCCGACTGCAGCACAGATTCACTCGTAGGGATATTGTTTGTTCCGTGCTGTAAGCATGTCACGGGACCTTCAATTTTCGAAGCCAACGAATTAAATATGCTCCCACAACCTCCGATTCCAGGTAGAAGAAACATCTGCTTTGTGCCCGCTTTATTTCTCGTAGTCATTTCCAAGCAAACATCCGGAATTATATTTAAATTGCTCATTAAATGAGTTAGAAGTTTTATACTCGTCGAATCGATTATTTCAGTCTGCTCGAAGCGCTTGTCTTTGTCCATCATATTGTGGAGTTTCTCAAAAGTGAGAGTTCTAATGTCCTGCGCCGTAAGGTAAACGTCGAACTCTCTCTCCAATGTTTGTTTGATCTCCACCGCCATCATCGAATCCATACCGATCTCTGACAGTGGGGTGCGAAGTCCAACCGTTTTAACATCCTTTACTCCTAGGCAAGCAAAGACAGAAGAAGATAAGACCCTTGGTGTTTCTCACTACGATTACATATATTTATTCACGACAACAGAAGGCACGAAAAAAATGCACACAATATTCTTGCTATATAGCAGGTATTTCATAAAACCGTAACCGTTAATATCTATTGCACAATAGGCAGTGGAAAAGAATGATGTAAAAGAAAATTGAATGAAATAACGGGCACAAACTATTTTTTCATGAAGTTGATTTTTTTGTTATAGTGCAATGAAGGTTAGTTCAGAAAAATGTAATTGCGTTTTTATTTTAAATACAACCTGCACATTCTTTGTATAAATAGAATATTAAAATATTCTTCATGAAAAAGTAGTAAGAGGTAAGATGAGCAAAAGATGAGTAGTTAATGAAACATTTCAGATTTATTAAAGCAAATATTCGAACGTTCCTCCGTCACACAATAAACATTTAGCATCGAATTCGTCGAGAAGAACATTGCGAACACTGCGCAGGTATTCAATTGAGTCGAAAAAATAGTGCTGTCTACGTCTCTCTAACGGTAAAAATCGTACTTAGTAACGAATCATAATTCAATAAAGACAGTATATCATTATGGAATTTTCAAACAGTAAACAAAAGTAGACATGTTCGCCATTTCTGTGCTTTGTGATAGGAATGCTATAGATGCTGTAATTATGTATTATCGCACATCCGTGATGCTGTCAAATATTTATTGTATGATGGAATATTCAAATATTTACTGTAATAAATCTGAAATGTCTACTCATTTAACCACTCATTTTCTGGACATCTTATCCTATTACTTTCTTCCGCGGAATATTTTAAAGAATTAACTTGTATAAAGAAAAATCAGGAAGGTTCAATTTAAGATAAAAATGGAACTGCATTTTTCTGGTAGCTGCACTAACAAAAAAATTGATTTCATCAGACAATAGCGTTCATTAAAACATCCAACTTTCTCCTACATTCCTTTATTTTTTTTATTTCTTTTTTGACCAAAACGCAATAGATATTAACTATTATGGTTCTGTGAAACACCCTGTATAGAGGCAGCAATGTATCATTAACCATAATTTTTCAGATTCATCTCCAATGTATCATTGCAAAAACATTTGGAAATGTATTGGGTTGGCAACTAAGTGATTGCGGATTTTAAATAAGAATGAAAATTCAAAATTTTAAATTTGCTTTTTTAAATTTTTTTCAATGCATGTATGCGATACATTAAGCTTCTCTGCAATATCACGTGTTGTGCTATGACGATCTGAATCGATAATGGCCTTGATATGGGTATCATCGACTTCAACTGGACGGCCAGATCGTTAAGCATTTTTCAATGAAAAATCACCAGAACGAAATCTGGCAAACCAATTTTGACACTGCCTCTCTTTCAAGGCTTCATTCCCATATACGGCACATAACTTCTTGTGTGCTTGCGATGAGTTCTTGCCTTTTCGGAAATAATACAATAAAATATGTCTGAAGTGCACGTCTTGCTCTTCCACTTTTAAATTAGGATAAAAACAAAACTAAAGAACTAATCGATATAATTTTTGTACTAAATGAAAGGTAGAAGTCCAAACAATAAGAAAAAAATATAGGTTAGGTACTTTGAACACGTTAACGAAACAAATGAAAATGTAAAATCCATCTGTCGACAAAATCCGCAATCACTTTGTTGCCAACCCAATACAACAGATTTATCACATATTTAGAGAAGATTACTTATGATACTAGCATTGGTTTCCAAAATGTCCATCACTCCACCTAGTTCCGCGCGCTTCTCTGCCACAACCATACTGCCCACGATCGGCCGATTTAGCATCATGAAAGTGTCCAGCGACTGCAGACAGGACTGTATTTTCTGCTGCAGAGTCCCGCCGATGATCAGTTCCTTATTGTCCTCTTGCATATCGGCCACGAGACCCACATCACCCACCGCGCCCCACTGTATAGCCATACCAGGTAATCCGTCTTGTACTCTCCTCTCGCATATCCTCTCCATGATAGAGTTGGCCATACCGTAATTAGTTTGCCCGGCGTTTCCTCGGCCGCACGAGACGGACGAGAAGACAACGAAGTATCGAAGGTCAGGGCACATTTTCCTAGACAACTTGTCCATTGTCTTCGTCGCCATTGCTTTCGGTTTGAATGTTTCCTCGAAGGACTCAGTGGTTTGATTCTGGTACAGAGAATCTTTCAGCACTACGGCAAAGTTGAATATAGCGTCCACCGGTCCCATTTCAACGGCAGTTTTCAAGATGAACGCGCCGTCCTTGTGATCAGATGCTTCAACACCCGCGATAATCTGCACATTCACTCCATAAGACTTCCATAGTTCCACCCTCGAGCGCTGGTAACCGTTTCGCAATCCTGCGAATCGCAGTCCCGCGAAGTCAGAAGAAGATTCTTTGCTCCTCGAAGAATCAGCCAGTCGGCCAATTCCAGACCGAAGCCACCTAAGCCGCCCAGAATGACGTAAGACATGTGCGACTTGCAGAAAAATCTGGGATAAGCGAGAATGGGAAGATCCAACGGCTCGTTTTCATCGCGCATTTTTATCAGGATCTGAAAATAAGAATGATAGCAACAGAATTTTACGCAACCGTATACAAAGCAATTGTGATAACACTAAAGACATGAATTTTTAGTCTGCCCGAGAAATTACCTTTCCTATGTGCTGCCATATACCTAAAGGCAGCCTCTACTTCGATCTTTTCGAAGACTTTCCTCGGAAGCGGTTTTATCGTACCGTTTTTCAGACCATGCAAAATATAGTTATATATAACTTCCTTCATTGTGACGGAATTTATTACATTGTCTAACATAATCGCATGGAAACTGATGCCTTTTGCGAAAACCATTATGTCTAGGGTATTATCGACGATCAAGTCATAATTTCCTATTTCTAAAAATCGGCCGCCTTTTGCCAAGCAGCGAACAGATGCCTCATCAGGAGCTTCTCATCAGCTAAAGAATTCAATACGATATCCACTCCTCGACCGCATGTCTGCTGCAAGATCATTTGTTCGAAAGTTGTGTCGCGAGAATTGCCGATATGATCGTCAGGGATCGAAGGGAAGGTTTCTCTAATGAATTGTCGTTTCTCCAAAGTTCCGACAGTCGTGAATACTTCGCATCCTTCGTAAAGCGCGAGGTGAATAGCGGCTTGGCCGACACCGCCGGTGCCCGAATGAATGAGAACTTTGTCTCTTTTCTTAATCTTTCCTTTCTGGTAGAGAGCATAATAGCTTGTTGCATAAACGCACGGAACTGTAGCAGCATCTTCGAATGTCCATTCATCAGGAATAACCCAGGACATAAAATAGCCGTAGATTACATTTGATATTCCTCTAAAAAAATAAATAATGTATCGTTCAAGTTGACATTGCCTTTCAATCACGGAGGAAAAATTGATAATTGCATTATATATCTGCATATTAGTCTGCAAAATCTAATGTTCTTCGATACAACATTGTCATTGAATTTCTATCATGGATATAATAATAACGATATTTTGCATTATATTATCTCACCTGTTACGACATAACCCCATTATTCTTTGTCCAGACTCGTTATATCCGACAAATTCCATGCCTAATAAGGAATCGATATTTCGTGCAAATGTTTGAAAGGATTTCAACTCTAATTTACCATTTACTATCATAATATCTTTGAAATTCAGTGTCGTGTAAATTATACGTATGATATTTTCATGCTTGATTTTGGAAGATGTTTCTCCTTCGAGCCAGCGCAACGTGCTCATATCACCTCGAATCTAACAGAAATTATGTTCATTTTATAATTTCGTAATAATATCATTATTATGTGTGTGACAAATTTGCTTGTAAAGGAATATTGCTAGTTGATATGAATTGAATTAATTTCTTGTGCGTTTTACTGTGCACAACAATGAACAAAGTTTTACGTAAATTCCTTTTCGTGTCGTTCGTTCTTGTCATGTTTAAACTTCTACGTCTATGTACTCTTTGAGCGACGTAACCGTACTGCACAGGTATCGGTTCCAGTGACGGTACTGACAAGTGCCTGTAAGAGCCCCAAACTTCGCCGGGACGTAAGACGTTAATGGGTAAGTCCAGTCGCAACTGATTCATGTAGAAAGGTTCCTGCAAAGAGAACTTGGGCGCATCTTTATCCTGAATGAAGACACATCTAACTGTATCACCGCCTGGCTCCCTTCGCAAACAATTTACAAGTCCTAAGACACCGCACTCAGGGTTATCTTCCGTAACAAGTATTACTCTTGAGTTCGTCTCATTATCGGCGTCCATCACGGATTTGAGCTTTCCGATCCACGAAAACTCGTAATTGTTTATGTGCACAATTTCTCTTCTTATTATGGCACTTTGCGCCTTTCTCAGGAGCAACACCGATTCCCGTTCCATGCGTTTCTCCAAGATGATATCCAAATTGTATTGTTGCAGCAGCTCATTGTCGTACGTGGCGTTTAGGTCCTCTCGGATAAACAGAAAGCCGCCAGGCATTACATTGGACAGTAATGTGCGTGCATCTTTCGTTAATACTCGAACTCCAACGACCATCAGGAACGTGTCGCCCTTTAACACTTCGTTATGCTGTATGATCGATACATTAGATGGTAATAAGGAGCTGTCGTATCTGTTCTCCGTCGCAACCAACGTGAGATTAGGTCGTACTAACGACAAGTTGCACAGAACTTTGTGGACAATTGGAGTAACTAGATCCTCCAGTAGAATCTTGTCATCAAGACTCGACAAACTCGATTACTTTGACGTTTATCAAAGCGTAACATTCAAGCGCAATGTGTATCGATATTTGCACCGCATCTTTCAAGGAGATCGTGTTATGACCTCGGTAAGCAATGAACTTGTATTCTTCGTGTACAGGTTGAGCATGTATCACTCGGCGAGATATGGCCATAGCTTTTAGACCATAAATTTCTATTCCTCCGGATACAATGGCGTCGAAAGAATCATAGACGTGTACGGCTATATCTGTAATAAAATTCACAATATAAAGATGACAGAAGGAACGAAGGTACTAAGAGCAAACTATTGCAAAATATGAAACTGTTTTCAATTATATTATGCACTTCTTTCTTCAATGGAGAGGTTATGAAACTGCTTCATGTGATATGTAGGATCGATTACCAATTTGCGGATTTGAGTCGGTACGTAAAGATTTCTCGAAAATCAAGCGATAGGATTTTTATTTGTAGCATATTATCCATGAACGCCACCCAATTTCTCGCCCATTTGATGTGCCCTACGCTTCCATTAATTGAGGCGCTCTTCAATGAACGAAATTGGCCATTATATTGGTAGCCACGGAGTCGTAGTTCCTTGTAAATACCTGCGGTATTCATGCACTCTTTAGCATCGTCGTCCTTAGGTAGAAAATGAACGAGTAGCTTTTCATTCGCAATATTATCAGGAATCCTCACGACTCCACTGACGATCACGTTTCCTCCCTTTATAATCTCAAAATTATTACTGCCTGTAAGAATATTACAATTATTAGAGGATAGTATATATCATTCTTTCTTTAAAATCAACCTTGTCGGCTCGGTTTTTGTGGAAAATTGGACGTCGTTACGACTTCGCAATGTTTTTCTGTCTTATTTCTTAATGTTGATTACATTATTATTAATATTATGTTATAATATCGCTGAAAGGTAATATCGAGTTAATATTGCTGAAGCTTCTAATAATTACAAAAGTATTTACCTTTTTGTATTATAATAGTTAATTCCACCTCGTATTATAATAGTTAATTCCGTCTCGTTGCGATAAGTAAGTAGCGCGTACAAATTTAACATTTTCAAATACAATCGGTATATTCCTACGATCAATGCCGCTCAATAACCCAATCGTGTACCAAATTTCATAAAGGTAACCCATAGCTGGTAACAAATTTTTTCCGTCGATTATATGACCAGACATATACTCAAAATCTTCCTCACTGGTTGTAATATTGACGACTCTTACTCTGCTGTAAATTTTAGGTTCACCTACATAACGGTACAAGAGATAGTCCTCAGAATGATCCCATCTGCAATATTATTTTAAAATTAGTAATGTAAACAAAGGAACGTGATTCGTTTCTTTATATGCAGGAAGGAGCGCACCTAATAAGAGGAGATATCATTGGTGTCCCGCGACTAACAGGAAATTCCACTGGCGGATACAAACTTGCAATCTGTGGCTGAAGTCCTACACTATAAAGATCTCCGATTCCTTCTAAAAAGTCTTGTAAAGTATGTTCTTCGCCGCTTTTATACAATGAAATCAACGTGATTATTGACTCCACCGAATTTTTCATGATCGACTGAACAGCATTGTGCGGTATTATGTCGACGAGTATCGTATCTTTCGGTAAAAAAGGTATAATGTTTCGTAATGGTATTGGATTTAGGATACCGTCTGCATAATATTCTACAGCTGTCTCAAACATGTCGCGTTTGCTTCGTGATCTGCCCAATTGTGTTACACCACGGCTATTCGAAGGTTCCGCCAATAATATTCGGTTGAGATGCTCGATAAGTTTTGATCTAAGAATATCAATATAACTGCCTCGATTTGTAGTAATGTCCTCAATCTGACAAACGATTATTAATGTTATTATACATGGCTTTATAAGTATATATGAATGAAATATATCTTTCTAACTGGAGAACGCGCAAATTAGTTAATTAATTCAAAAGTTGTTAAAACCTGGGACTTGGCTTGCTCAAACGCCGTGCCTATGTAATACGCCGCCAAAATTGTTTTCTCGACAGTAAAACGTCCATCAACGTATTCGCATATAAGTTGACCAATGGAGTGACCTATCGTGTAATCGGGTAGAATACCAACGTGTGTTAAGAGATCCACTATTCCAATCTGAAATGTTGTTCATAAAAGTATTGGCTTTTAACCGAAATTTATTACATCATATGTTGTGGTTTTACGTGAATAAGTATCAGTATAAATACAGAGTGTCCGGTAATTAGCTGTTATTAAGCTGTTAGTAATTTAAGTATCAGCTGTTATTAATTAGAAAAATAAATTTTGCGAGATTCGCATATATCCCGCTGCTTTAATATTTCATTACATTTCTCAATTGCCTTTGCGAACACCGGTTGTTTCATCAGCTCTTTGACATATCCAAAACAAGCTTATTAATAACTCGATAATTACTGCGAATCTCGCAAAATTATATTTTACTTTTCTTTTCAGCTTAGCCCAATCTACCTTCACACTTCGGGGTGTCTGCTAATTACCGGACGCCTTATATATTGTGAATATAAAATAAATAATGTTTCTTTCTTATACCTGTGTAGCAATAATTGCTACGAATGATGTTACGATGTTATTGCTGGTGGTTTTATTATCATTCATTATAATATCCATAACGTATATATCCCGCTGCTTTAATATTTCATTACATTTCTCAATTGCCTTTGCGAACACCGATAGTTTCATCAGCTCTTTGACATATCCAAAACAAACTTATTAATCACATATTAAGGAATATGCATGAAATTGTATGTATTCATTTAATTAAATTTATGTATTAAAACTAAAATATACAGGGTGTAACGGCAACATACAGGTCAGTATGACGGGTTGCTTGCCTCTATTCGGACGATAATACAGAGCTTGCCGGAAAAGTATTGCTTATCGAAAATAGGGCCTATTTTAAAAAATTTTTTGCAGCTTGTTAGTTGCGATCGATTAAGTTGCAACCAATATTTATACTGCGTTTCTAGTCCATTCATACTTTTGCAGAAGCGATCTTTTATTGAAACGTGGATGAAATACAGTACATAAAACTTTTAAATATTTCTGTATTGTTCTTTCTAATTTCCAATTTCTACCAAACTTTTCAACGTAAGAAAGCAATTAAGAAATTATGCGAAACCAGGAAATGTGTTGTATTATTTATCTCTTTTAGTATTACTCTTGTTTAATCAGTTTAATTCTGTTTAATCTACGTAATATTTATTTAATTCTCAGTTTCATTTTTTAATCATCTTTTTTACTTCAATGAGGCTCGACTCCTGTCGGTAAACGGTCGATAAATTGTCATTGTCATAACGATCAAGGTGCAAAATTAATTGCATTTGTCATAACTGGGAGCACTGCAAATATCATTATCAACAAAATCAACGAGTGACTTTTTCGGCAACCTCTGCATTATCGTCCGAATAGAGGCAAGCAATCCGTCATACTGACCTGTATGTTGCTGTTACATCCTGTACGTGCAGAAATCTAACATAATTTGATAGTTGCTTTCGTACCTACGTTACGCCATTTAACTTCTGTTCCAGGAAGTACGAAGCAGATTGGTCTTTTTGGGCTTATGCAGTTTCCAACTTTTCTTATTTGATTAACAGTAACTTCGGATCCAGCAATGGTATATCCTCTGTACGGATGGCCCTCAATATCTTTTGCATGAATGCTGTGCAGAAGAGCTATATATTCCGCGTCTACCTGTCGGCTATTCACCTATCGCGACAGAGTTGGACATATACATTTCATCACGGAAAAAATTATTTTGATCTTGGATAATTTTTCTCTGGATAATTCCTATTTTTATTTGCTTTGTAAAAATATATCTTTAGTTAAACTTAAATCATCTAATAGAGTCTGAACAGCCTCCTCAGTACGACCAGATACCGCTACAAGTCTAGGTAAGTCACCCAAGGTTTTAATGTCAATCTTATTTTCAGGGTTCGATTTCAGCAGTATGTGACCATTTGCGCCGCCAAATCCAAAGGAACTAATACCAATGTAACCACCATTCCATGAAGTAGGTTCAGTGACGATTTTTATTCTACCTTCGATTATAGGCATAAGTTCCTTTCGCGGTGTCTCGTAGTATATGTTTGGTGGAATAATGCCAGTTTCCATTGCTATCAACGCCTTGGAAACGTTAAAATGTCACACACACACACACACACATTCAATCTTATTAAAAGCTACAGAATCTTAACTGCAACAAAATCTTAACTTCACCACTGCAATGTGATGAAGTTATAAAACACCACTTAGATATATAGGCATGTAGTATAACACCATTAGTCATTTGATTGTGTGGCAAGCTGAATTGCACGAAAATACTTAAACGGGCAAATATGCATTTGCAATGTTTAAAAAGAGTTATTAAAATATTGTAACTACAGATTTTCTAGGTCATTGTTTATGAATATAAAGCAAAATTTTTCAAATTCCAGAAAGTGAACTCAATATAGTTACTAAAGCTACAAATTTATAGTATTAAAATAAAACTGAATAATTGTTATGAAAAAAACAGTAAACAGTAAAAATGAACCAAGTCTATATTTAAAATCTATAAAATATAACGAAATACCGAAATAATAAATAAATATAATTTATAACTTTAAGTTATATGATAGATAAAATTATGTTGTAGTTTCTCGTTTATATAGGTTTAAGGTGTCACCATTTTATATTTTTGTGTTAAATTTTGTCATTGAAAAAAGCGACTTAAAAAATTCTGCGTTTAAAAATTTTTGTAAAATTCTGACACTTTTTTTTCAATATTAAGTCGGTCACATTATTAAATATATCATGTTAAATTTTTAAGCTCACTATTAAGTGCAGCAACCCCAAAATTTTTGAATGCACAATTTTAGAAATATTAAACTACTAGAAATATCAAAATGAAGTATTATATCCCTCGCTAGTATAAATCGCTTTTTGCGAACGCAGTCTTGCGTTTCTGCCAATCAACGAGTTAAAATACATACTTTGGCCACTTGACAAAGGCTGCTAGTAGGTTCAGAATGCCCGAGATTTGATTTCACAGAACCCAACAACAATGGAGTAGTCCTCCTTGAACATAAAGCCTGATCGATGGCGTTAATTTCTACTGGATCTCCTACTAAAGTACCAGTGGCATCAAATGGCTTGCAATAACCATCAGCGGAGAGGACTCCTAAAATTATTTAATCGGCTGACAACTAAATGTTTCTTTGTTGGACTATTGTCAGCACTTATAATATTTCATACATAATCGACAGAACCTTTTATAGAGAATAATTCCATTTTCAAGTATAAATACTTACCGAGATGAAAAAACTGATACGTTTCGTTGGGATGAAGACACAGATTGCTACTACCCACGATAGCTGCATCGCATTCGCCACCTCGTATCATTCTGTAAGCTTCTGCAATAGCGAAGTGGCTTGAACTGCAGGCCATATCCACGATATAAGATGGTCCGGTAAGACCAAGCCAGTTAGAAATGCTGTTTACCTGCCAGTGTTTACCGCAGCCAATTATTGGGAATCCAGCTACCTAATTGAAAGTAAATTATGTTGTTGGGTTTTATGCCTCTTACTTATTCCCCTCTGCTGCTTGTATATGCTCACGTTTACATATGTGCAAAATATACTTTTCCTATTACAAATAAAAGTATCAAACAATGTCTATGCCAATGCTAATTAACTCTTTTTAGAACTTCGTCTAATCGTATGATCGTTATCTAGTGTTTAACGATTGCAGTGTTTTAATCATTTTTCTATGTTAGATTTAATAAATTTCAGCACGAACGAATATTTCGAGAACAAAACCATTTAGAGGGACAATTTAAAAATAAAAAAAAAATATTGTATATATATATATAATATATATATATATAATATATATATATATATATATAAATATATATATATAATATATATATATATAATATATATATATATATATATATATATATATATATATATATAATATATATATATATAAAAGGTTTGCTTGTAATATTATTACTCTATAAAAAAATGTTTCTTTTCCGTAATATTTTGCCGTTCCAGAAAACTTTCATATGTTTAATATCATCTGATATTATATTTGAGGCTTGTGATACAGGATTGTATTAGCCGTCGCAGAGAAACACGATATAAGGACACTAGTTTTCGTTCCCCATAATTCTTTAGGATTTACACCGGCATCAACAAGCGTCTCATAAGTATGCTCGAACAAAATTCTGCCTATAGGATCCTCCTCTGCTACTCGTATATGCTTAAGTTTACATGTGCAAAATATATCTTTTCTATCATATTTCAAAGCAAAATATACTATTTTTGTCATATTTCAAAGAAAAATCTCAAACAATGTGTATGCCAATATTAATTAACTGTTTTCAGAACTTTTATTCATGTGATCGCTATCTAGTGCTTAACGTTTGCAACGTTTCTCATCATATCTCTATATTGGATATTTGATAAGTCCCGACACGACCGAATATTTCGGAAACAAAGCCATTTGTTGTGAAAATAATTCAACAAAAATCTCTTCGAAAGAAATGTTTGTTCGTAATATTATTGCTACGATAAAAAGATTCTTTTCCGTTTAATGTTTCTGTCGTCACAGAATGTTTATATCTCAAATATCAACTAGTATTGTACTTCAGCATTGTGATACAGCAATACGTTGAGTGTCGCAGGGTAACACGATCCTATGAAGACACCGGTTTTCGTTCCGCGCAATTTTTCAGGATTTACACCGGCGTCGATAAGCGCTTCATAAGTGTGCTCCAGTAACATTCTGCACAGGGGATCGGTGGTATGAGCTTCCACAGATGAAATATCAAAGTATTGCGCATCGAATTTGTCTACGTTATTACTCATTCCCAATCGATTTGGCATGTCATAGTGGACTATAAAATTCCAAACATTTATTCTTTGTATTAAGATCATAATCTGCCAAGTCACGACTGATACTTTTTTCTTTTTTACTTTCTCTTTAATATTCAATTCGAATGGTGGTTATACGTTACCGATGTCCCACCGTCGATTGTCGCTCGAGCCCAGATCTATCATGTTAAAAAGATTTTCTTGCAACTCCTTCATATTGTCAGCGTTAGGAAACCGTCCGGCAATACCGGAAATCACAATCTCTTCATCCAAAGGAACTTTCACGAATGGATTATAGCTTTTGCCTTCCATACTTTCGACTTACTAGTAAATCTATTTATACTGAAAACATGGTGCAAAATACTTTCTGCTCTTTCAGACACAAATAAATAAAACGATCAAACGGGACGTTGAATAAATCTACAATTTTATTTCACAAGTTATTTTCCTGCGTAAGAGAAATGTAACATAAACCCGAATTCGAAAATGCGTTGTTTCCTTCGCTAACACGTAGAATAGAAGTTCAAAATATTTCCCATCTATTACGTCACGTCATCTCGCATTATATCCTAAGAGCAGCAGATGCATACCTTGAGACTGAATACTAGTTGCTGTGGATCGAACCAGAACGAAGATGCTTGTGAAACCTATCGATAGACACGAATATACCGATATCCTCGATGCGATTGCTATCGAACGCATTAACATCAACATTTTATACCAATTTTCTACGTCATCGATATGTGCTGTATTTCTCTCTATTCATTGTTTCTCTCTTCGTTTCGATTGACCTCCCCCTAATCTTGCTCTGTCTCTTTCGCTCTTTCGTCGTCGTTATTATGTCCCATTGTAGAACGTTGCATATTATTAGAACAGAGCTTGGCAAAATGTGCACGCAACGGCCGATTTTCGACTATCTCCGCCCACCGCTATTCCCTTTACCTCGCCGCTCCGCGCGCTGCCTGCAAGCCGCTCGAGCCTCAAGAGCGTGTTTCCAATAGTTTCATGTCACCCATGAGGTACTATTGTTGACGTGTTTTTTTTTAAGTGGCATCCCCAGTAGGCCTCTTCATTTTTCAAAAATGAAGTTTATAAAAAATGAAAAGTGTTCTTCTTTAAGCGACGATTCCTTACCACGTCTTATGCGGCTCGCTACATGCAATATCCAAATTGACGCTTCCATTCTTACCAATAAAAGACGCCGAAAATCGAATATTCTTCATTTAACATATTTTATTTCGCTTCTGTTCAATTAGTTACGGGTTGTTATAGTCATCAGTGGATTAGGCTTACTGGGGATGCTACTTAAAAAAAAACACGTCAACAATAGTACCTCATGGATGACGTGAAAATTATTGGAAACACACTCCTGAGACTCGAGCGGCTTGTGGGCAGCGCGCGGAGTGGCGTGGTAAAGGGAATAGCGGTGTGCGGAGATAGTGGAAAATCGGCAGGCGCGTGCACATTTTGCCGAGCTCTGTATTAAAATAATGCATGCAGATTACTATATAATAAAGGTTAAATTCTTCAAACGCGCCTTCTTGACGCATGTGCGTTAGTAGCAGAACTGTTCGAGGTACGACTCTTTTTTTCCTTTTTCGCGTCGCGACGTGTGAAATTTGTCTGCGAATATATTTTGGAAAACGAAGAGAGGACCCCGCGCCCAACATATGGATTTTGGTTCCCGGCCAATATTCCTGGAACTAATATACCAAGTTTTCCAAAAGTAAAGGAACCCCCTCCTATTTCAGAATCTATGCATTACAGAGAAAAATGACCCGAACAAAAGTTTTAGGGTCCATAAATTTCGCCTTGACCTCGACCTTGAAGATCATTTGAAGGTCAACTTATGTTTTTTTAAATGGGGATCCCTATTTTTTCTTACACTGTTTTTTTCTACCAATTAATTTGAACAACTTTTATCTAAAATATCTTTTTATTTGCCTAATATTTTTTGACATATTTGAGGAAAACTTGATAACTTTTTCAATATTTACTTACTTACAATATCTCGCTAACTATTTGTCGGAAGAAAAAGTGGTACTAGACTTTCTTGCTTTATTTAGTCTCAAGAATATACAGTTACAATAGCGCTCTAATTTTTGTTAACTTATTGACTTTTGGAAATTTCAAAATCATCAAATTAACAAAAATGTTTTTATTTCCCTTTCCCCATTTTAATAATATTACTACTTGCCGATAATATTATCCGAATAATATTTTGAAACCATCGTTTTTACGATTAATTCTGGTGTGTTTTTAAAAAGTTGTTAAGACTACTCTTCGATTGACACTTCGTAGCGAACAGCTTTTCACCAATCGTTTTCACGACTACTGTTCATGATGAATTGTTGTCAAGTATTCTCCAAAACGAGACGTTTCCATTAATTGTCGAAACATGGCTGCAAGAAATGCACGCACGCAACACGTACGCACGCGCACGCACACATAAACATATCCCACCTACCGCTAGACTTCTGACAATGATGAAGGATAAAACGAAACTGTTCACCTCTGTACCTCGATAATTATTAATTTTAAGGCCTAAGTTCCAAGGTGATTTTTGCTCGGGCGGTCATATAGTACAACATACATATATCAGTTCCAGAAAAATTGGCCGGGAACTAAAATCCATATGTTGGGGATTCCTTTTGTTTGGGTCACTTTTCCCTATAATGCATAGATTCTAAGATAGGAGGGGGGGTCCGTTACTTTTGGAAAACTTAGTATATTAGTTCCAGGAAAATTGGCCGGAAACCAAAATCCATATGTTGGTTGCGGAGTCCTTTCTTCCTTTTGCAAAATATATTCGCAGACAAATTTTACATGTCGCGACGCGAAAAAGGAAAAAAAAGACATACCTCCAACAGTTCTACTAACTTAATGTTAAGAAGGCGCGTTTGAAGAATTTAACCCTTATTATACAGTCACCTTCATGCGTTATTCTAATAGTAAGCAACGTTCTATTGGGTTGGCAAATAAGTTCATTCAGTTTTTGTTTCAGTATAAGTTTCATGCGGATTCGCTTTTTTTCTCAGCGCTATCGTGCAAATCGAATACACATTTGAAAGGTTATGTTATACTGTTTATGTTGTACGGTGTTTGGTTTGGCTAACATCAATATTGTGTGTGCTGCGTAGCTGTGAACATGGAAACAAATAACGTGCATTATCGTCAGATTTTGCTGTATTATCTTAAAAAGGCAAACGAGCTGCGGATGCTCATAAAAAAATATGCCGTGTGTATGGAGATGATGCCTTAACAGAACGCGTATGCCAAAAATGGTATGCCAATTTCCGTTCTGGAGATTTCGACGTCAATGATGCGTCTCGCTCCGGCCGCCCAACCGAGATTAATTCGAATGACATTAAGGCTATAATCGAAGTAAATCCATCCCAATCGGTACGAGAGATTGCTACGACATTGAATATACACAGTCTGTCCCAGATCCAATGAGATTGGTCTAAAAAAAATACAAAGCGTTTATTATTTTGATTTTTATTCTTGTTTATTCAAAATAGTCTCCTTCTGAGTCAATACAGCGCTGGAAACGTTCAACAAATTTTTCGAAACATTTTTTATACTCATCGGCTGGAATGGCCTTTAGTATGGCGGTTGAAGTCTTTTGGATGATGGGGATTCCCGAAGGAATCCGGCAAGCATGTCAGCCATTGTAACTGGTGATGAAACGTAGTGTTTTCAATACGAGCCAAAAACAAAACGTCAGAGTGCGGCATGGAAGTCACCAGAAGAGCCAAAAGAGAAAAAATTACGCTTTCAGAAGAGCAAAATCAAGACAATGCTGACCGTTTTCTTCGATTCAAAGGGAATTGTTCACAGTGAATTCATCCCAGAAGGTCAGACGGTGAACGCAGAATATTATCTGGGAGTTCTACAACGATTGTGGGCCAGAATTCGACGAGTTCGACCGGAATATCGAGAGCCAGGCAGTTGGTTTTTGTTGCATGATAATGCACCATCGCACAAAGCCATCATGGTACGTGAATTCTTGACCAAAAAAGGCATCATTGTTATCGATTATCCACCGTATTCACCTGATTTGGCTCCGTGCGACTTCTGGCTATTTTCCAAACTGAAATTGGCGATGAAAGGAAATCGTTTCGATACCATCCCGGTCATCCAAAAGACTTCGACCGTCATACTAAAGGCCATTCCAGCCGATGAGTATAAAAAATGTTTCGAAAAATTTGTTGAACGTTTCCAGCGCTGTATTGACTCAGAAGGAGACTATTTTGAATAAACAAGAATAAAAAATCAAAATAATAAATTTTTTTTAGACTTTCTTTTTAGACCAGTCTCATTAGATCTGGGACAGACTGTGTATCCCATACAAGCGTAGAAAAGTATTTGCACCAACTGGATTTTTCGGCTTAATGTTTGCCGCATCAATTAACCGAGGCTAACTTAACCACACGCATATTCATTTGCAATTCGCTACGGAAACGCTAAGAAAACGACCCATTTTTTAAACGAATTGTGACGGGTGGCGAAAAATGGGTCGTCTACGATAATGTAAAGCGTAAAAAATCATGGGAACATAGCAACGAGCCACTGTAAACAACCTCGAAGACGGGATTGCATCCAAAGAAAATAATGCTCTCCGTATGGTGGGATTTCAAGGGTGTCATGTATTACGAACTGTTACCGTCAGGCAAAACGATTGATTCAACTGTATACTGTTCGCAACAGATGAAATTGAACCAAGCAATCCGCACAAAACGTCCAGAATTAGCACATCGCAAGGGTGTCGTTTTCCACCACGACAAAGCCAGACCTCATACGTCATTGACCACTCGGAACAAATTGCTTCAACTTGGCTGGGATGTTTTGCCTCATCCTCCGTATTCATCGGATCATTCCCCTTCCGATTATCATTTAATTCGGTCGCTGCAGAACTCTATGAACGGGGAAACCTTCAAGGATGAAGAGGCCGTTAAAAACTATCTGAATTGGTTTTTCGCCGATAAGCCCCAGACGTTTTACGAACGCGGCATAATGAAGTTGACGGAAAGATGGCTAGAGGTCATCGATAAAGATGGCTAATATATAATTGATTAAAATTTATCTTGTGTATCAAAAAATTGTGTTTTATTCTACTTTAAAAAACCGAATGAACTTATTTGCCAACCCAATATAATGGGACATAATAATATGTTGCAGGGTTCTTTCTCTCTCTTGAGACACTCATCCTGTGTATACATGGGTTAAAAGTTCTCCTGAGGAATTTTGCTTTGTTTACAATAAACGTTCTACATGTCTATGTCCATTTGTACACATGCTTGATATTTTCG